GGCAGGTAACTATTGTAAAATAACAATACACAAAAACTTAAATTTACGTCCCTTTACCAATCAGAAGAATGTATAAAATATGCTGACAATTCAGCATGCATCTCCTTTAGTGATATTAAAGAATAATCAAGTGGTTTTATGGTGGATTCTTAATACTTCTTTAGACTTCATTTCATCACATATATGCCAATTTTTACTATTATTGTGTTAATGTGCCGGTCTTCATCCAAATCGGCGCAAATCCTAAAAAATGAACGATGAGCAGGTGGCAATCTCATATAAAAATATATCATATTTAAACTTAACAGTTTTATGTAATCGTAACTTATAACGACCAAGCCCAGACGACCCAGCATCATTGTAAAAGCTACTTTGTCATTCAATTGATAACGTTATTCAAGGACACAATCTCGGTAACTTGTACAAATGCTCTACCTGTAGTAAATGCCTTCACTGGTGACAAGACATGGGATCACCTTTTGAGCTCAAACAAAATGGGTACAAAAAAGACATGATGTAAAACACAATTTAAAGCAAAGTGGGCCATAAGAATCAAGAAGTTAATGTATGTCTTATTCTTTACAACCTAGGGTCCCGCCATTCAAGCTGTTCCTATAGGCAGATCTGAAAATGTGAATTTTAACAGGACTAAACATCTCAAACGAAATGTTTGACCAATATCATAATCTAACAGGTTTGCACATGCCCTTATGAAGCAGGAAAATATTGGTTTTGTTTCATCATCTTACATTGACTTCTCTTTCTCCCCATCTTTTTAAACAAAAACTACCTTTGAGATCGAAAATTTGTGCAGCGAATACACCTCGACTCTGCAATATTTCTATAATTATTATATAGTTTTCAAAATTTGCTACTAGTTGATAATAGTTAAGTTGTCAATATTATCTTGTGAATCTGAAGCATATACCTCTAAATGCATACTTAAAAAGATTTTCGACAGAACTGTCCTAAAAAGATGTCTCTTAAGTACAATGTATTTTGCAATGTTCTAGGGTATGCATGATTTTATATTATGTAAAATTATGGATGAAACCCTGGGGCAAAAATTCTAATTTTTTTTAAAAAAAAAATATCCAAAGGAAATGATTCATTAATTTTTTAAATTTGGGTTTTTGTACGGGTTAAGGTAAATTTTTAAATGAATTTTTTTCTTGATAAAAGCTTTTTGGTTTCAATTTTAACTAAATCATTAAACTGTGTTAATTTGGTAGAAATAACAGTATAATCTTGATTTACATAGTCAATTGTAAGTATTTGAGAATATCTATATTGGAAGTGATGTCAAGGGTGTGGCAAGAAATAAACAACTACTGTTTGTTTTTTTGTTTTGTTGTTTTTGTTTGTTTTGTGTTTTTTTACGTCAACATCGACAGAGGTATAAGTCATATCGCGACGTTCCAGGCTTTACTTGGTGGAGGAAGACCTCAGGTGCCCTTCCGGGTGCATTAAACATTGCAGGGCACGAACGGGGCAACTGGAAGTAGAAACCACCGACGTTTCCGTTAGCTAGCTGGATAGCTTTCCTCACATGAAAGATTTCCCAAAGTCTCTGTCGGGATTCGAACCCAAACAGAGGTGAGGGGCAAAGTGGTTTGGGAAAGTCAATGACCTTACTGGCTCGGCCACGGACGCCCCTGTTGATGATGATGATGATGATGATGCATATACAGAAGCAGTAACAGTATATTTTTTATAGTTTATAGGATTCGGAAAAAAAGGTTTATTAAAGGTTTAAATTGATTAAACTTAACACTGTCTGATTGTGACATTATATCTTGATGTTGTTATCTATTTAGTGCAAGGTCACGACAAAAATAATAGGTTTCCCATTGCATCATAATATTTTATTACTCAATGACATTCCAATAAAATCCCCTTAAATTACAATATTGATTTTATTGATTTAAAAAAGAACAAATTTATATCATTTGATGTAAATCTACGATTAGATTTTTGTTCAATTTATCCTTCAATATGTATAAATATAAATGACGCAACTTGAAGCCATGTTTACATTAGATTATTTTGATAATATTATCTACTGTATTTATAGAGTATGTCTGTTTTTCAGCAACTATAAAAACAGAAACTGTGTCACATTTTGAACAACCTTAAGATTTTAAGTTACATACTGAAAACAGACATTGGAGAGAATATGTAAAGCACTAAATTATTATTATTAAACAAAGTAAGGCATACATCCATAAGAAAATGCGTATATGACTTCAAGTGTCACATTCAAATAGCATACGTATACTCAATACTATATTCTCAAGGTCGATAGACTGGAAACATTCAAAATATTGATCTTTCATTGATTTCAAAAATATCAATGACCAATTTATCAATGATTTAAACCATATATCAAGGAATCCCAATTAAATTGTAAGGTCACTTAAATAACTCGGTTAAATACTATTAAAATGTATAAACCTTGGTAAATATCATCAACGGTATCTAACAGATCCTGTAACTATTTTTATGGTAAAATATCATAAATATGAAGCTCAAATAAAGATTTTTCAAAATTATAAGTTCCAAAAAGCATTATTTGTAAAGATATAATATTACCGAATTTACATTTTATGAAAATAAAGGGAGGTAATTAGAAATGTATTTTTGATAAAGTCTGAGCCAAATTTTTCAAGCATATAATTTAATGATTACTTATAATCCCGTATAAACTTTTTGAAAATTGCATATTTAACATACCCCGGGGAATTTTTGGAAAATTTTTTTGGGAAGAAAAATTTTAAATATAAAATTAAAATTTCACTAAGGGGTTTGGTTACATTCTTTTTTACAGCAAAACGGGAAATCTTTAAAAAATGCACACGTTGACTTTAAAAATTTAAAGAATTTTTTTTCCCCAATTTTTCCCCATGTTTTGCATTTAAAAAACCCAAATTTAAAAATGATTTTCCCAAATCATGCCAAGAGTGTTATCATCTGTCCATGTTCTAAATGCGGCAGACACTTAAAATATCCTTGGGTTCCCATATTATTTTGGTAACCATCCCATAAAAATTCGTGTATATATCACCCCTGTTTTTGTAACAGTATCACAACTAATAACTGATTTCTTAACACATCTATTTAATAGAAATGGATATTTGTAAATATCATATTGTTGGGGCTATAGTTTTGATATCTATTTGTTTACAAAGTGTTTTAACGGGCGATATTGATTACCAGTTTCAATATCAATGTTACGCATCTCTATGTACATATCCACTCGAATATTGCTCATCAGTTGACTGGGAGCGTCGATGTATACCATGCTTGCTGAGTGTATGTCAGAGTAAAGAGGTCCCATTGGCATGCAGATTCAACTGTTCGTTTAAAGGAGAAATATTAAAGAACTCGTCGGAAATCATTATCGGTAAATCTTTTGTGAACTCAATTTTAATTCGTATATATTATTGGCTTTCATATCAACAATATACATATACTGTATAATATTTTTTCAGCGTAAATTTTGTTTTGTTAACACCTTAGATTTCCTTATGTAACTTATGTTATTTAGGACACACTTATTGTTGGTAAGACAGATAAGGATGAAAAAATATTTGTTTGTGATAATTTGTTGAAATAAGCAATTTGGAGATTTCATCAGCAAATAACAATACAATTAGTATCAATGTAGAGTTATATTAGGCCGTGTCTACACCTATTCAAGTTTCTTACATGTCACATTTAGATAAGCTAAATAAATGGCCCTTTCAACATTTTTTCGGGCACAATTTTTTTTACTGGAAATGTCTCATTAAAGATAGGCCCAGGATTTTATAACCTTTGGTCCCTTTGCAATACTATCATGTTTCTGTAAAAATATGTGAAAAAAAAAACGGGAAAATGATGCAATTAGCTAAAACAATGGAGTAAATGAAATGCCGTACATTCTTTTAAAAATTGAAAAAATGTGACAAAAATTTATTTTTGATGCATATTCTTTATTTGGTGAAAGTTATTCACTAATGAAACAAGATCATTTTAAAAATTCATTTGACTCTACTTGAAAAAGAGGTTCTTTTTTTATTTTTTTTACAAATGCATTTATTTTTATTTATTTATTTATTTTTTTGTTTTGCTCTTCTGTGTATCAGCGTATTGATTTTTTCCTTTGACCAAGACACTAGAAATTCAAAAAGGGCATGTACATCTGAATCCACAACAAAAATTTCAGGAAAATAAATAAAAATAACAGCACTATCAAACCTTCGGGCACATGTTTTGTGTCAAACTGGTGTTATCAAGTGTCTTGACAGCCAAAAACTTGTAGAAAAATAGAACGTGTTTCTAATTTTCTTGCAAGAAATTATCTTTCATGGGATGTCACATATTTTCTCTTTAAAAAACCATTCAAGTAGGGTGTCTACACTATCCAAATACAAGAGAATATGATACTTGCATTCAAGACTTGGATAGGTGTAGACAGGGCCTTAAGTTAAGAAATTGGTATACGTGACTGTAACGTGTCTAAGTGCTTCTCGCCCAGGGAATCAAAGCATTATATATTTGATGGTTTTAACGGCTGGAGGTTTGAGCGTTTCGTACAAAATGGCAGGAAGTAAATGTTCACAAACACTAACTTATCAGTAAGTGAAATTAAGAGTATTTGTTGGTGCGAAGTTGCATCTTGTTGCGCATCACATATAAAAATTAAGTTAATGATATTTTCCTTTATCTACAGGTCACCACAATGGCTGGGATAACTGTAAGTGCGATGTTTATACTATATAAATATAATTCTATCAATAACCTTTTTATACTGGTTGTTAATATTTGAAGCATCAATATTTGTGCATAGATTTAAATTATTTTTAAAATTGCCAAAATATTATACATGATGAATTAAATAAATGGTATTGATATAATTTTTATAGGCAATTTATAAAATTTTTCACAGGTGTCAGGTTTCCCAGTTTGGTTTTAATATCGGACAATTTGTCATTTTATGTGGCTGCTGATGCATTGCTTTGCCATTATTCTGGTTATAGTCATACGGGATAGGAAAATTAAGTAATAATTCATCTTTTTCTTACAAATGGAATTGCTTCCGATTCAATCTATTTCGCGGAGGAACTAAAGGTTCTCTTTTAGAATTGCATTGTTGCAAATGAAATGGTAACTATTGTAATAGTTAGAATGGTATATATGTAAATATTTATTTTTTATTTTAGACTTTGTGAGAACGAAACAGAAAGTCCTTTGGTACCAAAACACACGAAAGTTATACCAACAGATAAATGTCCTACCTCTACTACAGGTACTTATTTGATATATAAAGACAGATCATCTCTTTTTTTACTTTTTAAATGTCAGAAACTGAAAAGTAATAGTGCAACAAATAAATGATTGAATACATTATTTTTGATATTTGCGGAGTATGCACAAACAATTTAATTTACTTACGACTTATCTCATTGCAGAGTCACAACCAAGCCACTATTGTGAGCAGAAATTGAAAGGAACGCCCGTCACAAGCTTACCGTGTGATAACGAAGATAAATACAAACCCACTACTCATTTACAGAGATAAAATGAAAAAGCGGAATTGTTTAACATTATCATGTCATACGCCACATGGCAAAACTCCTGCACGCATTAGGACAGCTTAATTTTGCATTTTACTCTTGTCGGAAGTCCTCGGCTATCATATATGTTCTTAACTGAAGTTTGACGGAAATGGTCGAGAAGATGCGATTGCGTTGTCCTTATCTGAAGTTTTACGGCATGGGTCAATAATATAAGAGTCTGTTTTGTAAAATGTATTGAATATAACACAATGTAATTTACATTGTATTGTACATAAATAACATTTTAGAGATTAGGTGAATGAGCAGGCATCACATTTTACATTCATCCACACATTGATTGTGCATTCAAATATTTACGTGACATTGTCTAATTTATGTTGTTTTACACATGTATATACTCCCTACTGAAAAAAACATAATATTGATCAAAACAGAACTTGAACACTTTGATGTTACTACAAACTTAGTTTTATATGCGCTTTGGAATAGCGGAGCGGTATAAAATGTGACAGTCAAACGTAGTGAATTCAGGATTGATTTTGTGACCAACGGTCGTTTCATGAGGAAAATCTTGCAAGTATTCCGCTGTGTTTAATACATCGTCATATAGAAGTCCCTTTATATGATTTTATAAAATAAGTATATTTCGACAAGTTGTGGCTTAGATATTAATACTTAATGAAGTTGTTAAATAAAAAATAAATCTGATATTTTGTACTGAATATTGTTGACATACAGTATCGGACAAACAAATTATTTTAATCAGGTATTTGTCATGGGCACTTGATAGTTGATCGATTACCCTTTGTGACAGACTACCCGCCGTGATTTGATCAACGTGCCTATGGTTTATGTGTAACTTGCTCAGAGTCTTTGTCAAATACAAAAATAAAATGAACAGGGTAAATGTGACACAAGTATAAGAACTGTTCTGTTAACTTCTTAAAGAATTATAATTTCATTTACAGTTTGAGAAACGAACCTATATTTTCTGTTTCATCGGAGATAAGAGATCAATTATTTCGGTTCCAAATGAATTGTGTTTCTGTCATCATCAATTTCGAGAATATTAATAAGACATTTCCTTGCTCTATCATATGAACATTTTTAAGAAGGATTTCTTTGACTTGACTTGTTTACTAATCGGCTTATGAAGTCTCCTAAACAGCTTTCTGTTTTGAGTTATAGAAAGGGAAAATAATTCAATGGCACTTCGACATAAAATAAACATGTAATATTATATATTCTTTCTCTGAACAGCATGCTTAGTTGAAATAAAAAATAATAAGAATAAATTTTATTCAATGTTCATGTATCTATATCAGCACGAGTTTTTGTAGAATGTGTGAAATAGTTATTTATAGATTTTTGGATTCCCATTATTTGGAACACATAACCATCCGAATATAGACGGAAAGGATCGAAAAGTTGCGATTGAAAAGTTGGACACACGATAAAATGCGACACAATATCTAAGTAAGTCAAGGATACCGAAATAAAATCCCCCTTTTAAAGACTGTTTTAGTGATAAAAAGATAAAGTATAAACTTTATGTACATAAATTTTGGAATTTATCCAATTTATTATATGGGATCCTGAAATGCCATGGTTATTTCAAAATGTTGTTTACGTAGGATTGTACAACATACATTTACATATATTTTGTTTTATATGAAATAAATAATTGAGCAAATGTACATTTGTGTATCATGTTCACATTAAGTGATAAGTCATGATAATTACATATGCAACAATGTAGATGAATTTGATCATCATGCAAATCAATGCATGGTGACATAGCATAAAATACAAGCCATATCTACAAATATTGCTTAAGTTGCATATTCAGAATAGACATGTTGCTATAGCAATAGTTATTTATAAACAAATTTAGCTATATATATATTAAGTCAGTAAAATAAAAGATGAATGGGCACCAATTCCGTTGAATATTTACTATCTATAAGCAGTACTATAATTATATTATTCACCCTAGTACGGATATCTCATTCAGTCATTAAGTATAGGTTAGTGTTTGATAATATGTATTAACAAAAATAATTGGTCAAGCCTGCCGCAGGTTTAAAAAAGATAAACAAAGTTTTATACAAAGTTTAAAACAGACAGACATTTTTCTATGTTACTATGTAATCATTTGTCTCTGTTTGCCCCACATGTATTATCTATGTAATAAATTAATTGATTAATTGTATCCTCACATTTAGAAACACCTGACCTCGCTTAATTGTTTTTTTACGTTGGCATTGTTTTAGATATTTTACAATTCAGAGTGCAAATCACACCTCTAACTCCTCCCTAATATAATGCATTATTGAAATTGTTAGACTATTTAGACGACAGATTAAGTAATTTTTTTAGTTAGTACGTATTAACCAAAGTTAGACTTAGCAGAAATTTGAAAAATACTACAATGTGATTGGACAAAAAATAATGTTATACTTTGTTGAAAGAACTTGAAATCAATAAACAAATCGTTTGTGAAAAAAACAGTTAAAAGGAATCCCTAATGAAATGTTTATCAACTGGAATCCCAGCACATATGTAGCATGTGATATTGCTGAAATATTTATAGATGTCATTTAGTAAAATTTACATACCACCATGCCAACGACCTGTTTTACACACCAACCATAAGTTTTATCGGACCACTCAACTGTCCTTCATTTATTTTGAAATATGTTTCATACTGGTTGGATGTTGAATTACTAATATTCTTTCTAAAATTGTAACTGTCCATTGCATTGGTAGAATGTTGTAGAGAATTTTCTTAATATGTAAAGTTTGAATGAACATGCATTTTAATAAAATACATTCACATACATTTACATAATTATATTGACAAATAAATCAAGATATGGGCCCAAAATATGATAGATGATAACTTTGCATTTATAACATTGTAGGAATAATGAAAAAGTGTTTGTGCCGGTAAATATCACTAAATACATAATTATAAAAGAGTAAAAATTCGCATTATATATTTATAGAATAATGTATTATTTATCTGTTATATTCATCTATATGTTTTAACTTTCCATCTCTTAAAACGGCATTTTCTTGCACTCTCCAAAAACAGTTTCAGTTTATAGGCAAATCGGCATATACAATATACCTTTGGCCAAAAACGACCTTATTTGCAGTGCGGGATTGAACAATCATCAATGGTATCTTTCGAATCTATATATAATGTACATAAAACTGCGGTACTGTTTGCTAAATATATTTTAGTATGTATATATAGATATGATGACAGTATGGGAATCCGTGTACCCATCCTCCTATAGGTACAATCATGATAAAAAAAATATTAAAAGGCATAAGTTTCACTGTCTTATTAAACAACACATCGAACCTTAAGACATCAGAATGTGTTTCTCTCCAATATTTATCATAATTTTGGGATCGTTTTACTTTAAAACTTGTAATCCGGCATTGCTAAAACCTTTTCAGTTTCAATGTTATACCAAAGGAATTTGTACATGGCCACTAGAATACTGTTCTTCAGAGGAATACGAACAACGATGTATACCTTGCTATCCTAGTGTTTGTAGACAGGATCAGCCACCTCTTCAGTGTCAGTATAATTGTTCTTTAATAGGTACGTATATTATTAAATTAAATTTGAGACTTTTTTTACAATCATGCGAATATATACAAAAAAAATATTTTGTTCACACATGTACACAAATTCATAAGTTAGATGAAAAGAAAAGCATTTGTTTTATTGAAATATATACAAATGTACAGATCAATCCACAAGTAATAGGATATTTTACAACAAAAACAACTACTCTAAAAACATTAGTCACTACAGATTTTCCTTACAAAGATACACTTAACGAAACTTATAAGTACTCCGACCAATTTTTTATTTTATTGTGTTAGAATTACTATAACTAGTCTAAGTCGATACTGTATAAACTTTTATCATAGTCTCATCATTTTATAATAGTAAATGCATTTTACAATAACTCAAACTTATCAGTAACTGAGATCACCATTGTAAAAAAAAATCAAATAAAACCGGAGTTTTCCTGCAAGTTTGAAATCGGAGTACTTATAAGTTTCGTTAAGTGTACTACTTGTCATATTTTATTTCTTTTCTTTCAGAACAAAATGAAAGTGAAAGTACAACTGAGAATACAGGTAATCGCTGTTTCTGCGTGATTAGATGTTTCTGATACAAAGTAGATAATTATTTTTTATCATCCAAAGTTTGTATTAATAGATTCAGTAATTTTAAGGAACACGTTTAATCGTGAAACGGTTTATCAACTTAAAAATAATTTAAATATTTATTATAAACTTGTTTTATATCGTGCATATCATATTGCTTTGGCTATTTGTTATAAAATGATTACACATAGGCAAGCTATGTTTGTTATTAAAAATTACTTTTTTTGAGGTTACCTCAAGTACTGTAATTTTATACGGTATCTTATTTGCTTAAAATGATTTAAATACGAATTATTTTGATAGTCTTCGACATTTCCATAGACTCAAATAATGTTAAAACACTATTTTCAAAGTAGTTTAAAGTATATCATAAGACCAGCCTTGTTATTCTTTCAACCCATATTCTTTTGCTCAGTTTTTCTCTAGTTTTTCTCTAAATGATATACATGTACTTTTATATACTGTACGATTTTTTTTCAGCCGGATCTTCAGTGGTTGCGCTAATTGTTGTGGCTTCACTTTTGGGGGTTATTGTCTTATCTGTCGGTTTTCTTATAATAAAAAACTTCAAACTGAAACAAAAGTAAGTATCGGTTCATTTCCTACAAGTGTTTTTTCTTTACTTTCTAATGTTTTTGCTTTTAACATTCAGTGTATACAAATTGTTGTGTGTTTATCCAATGGTAATTCCTCATTTTCATATGAAACCGTTGAATAAATGATATTGATGATGTTTTTCACATCTTGGTTTATTGATTTTATTGATTGAATGACTGACTGACTGACTGATTGATTGATTGATTGATTGATTGATTGATTGATTGATTGATTTTCATTATTAGGCAATGCATATTAATGTTAAGACTTAATTTATTCTTTCAGACTGCGAAATAATACAATGAAATATGAAGATGTGAAGAATTTATTAAAGTCAGCTGAACAAGAGAGAAAAAAGGAAAATTCTTCACAAGAAAAAGGTTTAAAAATCTAGTCCTAAAAACTTCGCAAGAATGATTTTAAAAAAGAATCTAATGTAAATGAAATGTGAAATATTAGAAAGTCCAAATAGAAAAAAAATCGATAGAAGTTTGGTGTATCAATAAATATCATTTATTATCGTAATATTGTAACTTTAGTTTAATGATTCCATCATTCTTTCAGATTGTTATGGTAAAAGAAAACTGACAACCGTTAACCCAACAGACACTGATAGAGCTGGGTGTTATAAACCAACAACTTACAAAGACACGGTATCTTAATATTGATAACAAAATAAGACAGTTTAAAGTGTCATCATTCAATAACGCTCTCGCGAACTAGAGGCGAGTTAGCAGCATTGTTAAGAAAATATACAACGTGGCTTATTCGCGGCTGACCATCAAATATATATTGCTTTAGCTTATAGTTTTCATGCAGCTGTTTGTGTTTTGTTATCAAACATTATATAAGGTGAAAACAAGCAATTCGGAGCAAACAATTTATTTCAAACTGTCCAGTTGTTGAGCGATTTATTCTTACACATGATGAGACAGAGTTATACAGTGATAACATATAACTATGCATACCTTTCCTAGTTAATTTGTTCCATGAGATTGCTCAATCAATGAATTCATATGCCCTAAGAAAATAAAAAACACGCACAAACTTGAAAGCATTTGTTTCTTTTTACTTTCTACAATATAATTTGATGGTGACACATGAATACTGGAACTGCGTCCTTTCCTAAAACGTACGTATGAGGGTCCATCCGCCCGGTAAGACACAAAAAGCAGCTTTCGCTGTCGAGTACGGACGCCGGACATGTCACAATTCACGATCTTAAAAAGTTAATTTTGAAGCACAAATTGGTGAAAATTTACCTCCATGCAATTTCCACGTAGTATTAGGCAAAGATATGAATTTTGAGCCAAAAGTAGGTCACTGCACGGCGGTCAATGTGTAATCTGAGACAATAATGAATGAAGGTAGCCCTAAAAAGAGATGTTGGTGCCAAGCAAATGCCTGCCTTACAAGCCGTCAATCGTACTAGAGACTCACTCCCCTCGACTTAAGTCAGGACACCGGTAGTTAATTTCATGCAAGCTAAGTCGTACCGCTTTAAACGTTACCCCGAGCTGTGAAAAAGATGCGAAATTGCCAGCTTACATGTAGCATTGGTTCTTCAATCATCTGTCGATGACCTGTGTCTTCTTAACAACTAGCACGTACCTAGGGAAAGTCCTAAAACCATTTTGGGCGTCACAGGCTGTATCATTAGATTCCACCCAGAATGATAGACAACCATTTAAAAATTGTACAATACAACGGGAAGCTCCTATATGATAATAGTGGATTTCTAATTTAAGATGCCATTGACTTAAGAAAAGTACTTATTTCTTACTCAATTCAGAAGGAATAATTCCGTTAGATAAAGGTTATACAAAATGTGAAGAAATGATACGGAGCAATCACTTTTCAATATAAACACAACCACAGGCTTTCCCATTTTGAGTCTGTTTAACAGCATTGTATGTTTTTAATGCGCTTCTAAAACAAATATATTATTGTCGTTTAAAACCTCAGTTTTACCGTTATAAAATATTATTATTTTAGTGTTTCTGCAACTCGGTTTACTAGGCTAAAATCTTTCTTCGATTTTACTTTAACTTTCAGTTATAGCTTCAATATATATTTATACATTGTCTGTGAAACCCCCTCCTTGCCAATGGTTTTCAAGAGTTTTTTATCTGGTTAATTTGATTAATTTTCCAATCTGTTGACAAATCATTTTGCCAATTTACCCAGTATTGGCGTGACTTTAGCCCAGACATGAATACATGACGTCTTTTTAGTTAGTTCTTTCGTAAACTTTATCTCATCGATTAAGGGATTCGTTCCCTTGTACAAAATGTACTTTATCCTTCAAATACACCGAAAAGATGAAAATGGTATTCTTCAAACATCACATAAAGCTTTTTTTAAATAAGTTACTGCAATGAAATAACTGTTTTGTCAAATCTAATTAAATATATTTGGTGATAGTTCGTATTAGCTGTAAAGATTGTTGACAGGTTATATGGCTCTATATAAACAGTTGTTTGGTTATATTGTAAACAACCGTTTATGTAAATTGACATGTAAATAATATGTTTGAAACCGTGGAAAACTGTGGCATAAATATATAACGTTTAATGTTTTTTGTATTATTCTGATTGTAATTATTCAATATGATTAAAGTGCACAATATTGTGGCGCATTCCTTTAAAGCTGCATGCCTCCAGATGAGCTTGAATATTTCAAGAAAAAAAAAACTTGAGTAAAAAGTACTGAGATTTTAAGGAAAGTAAAAAGATTCAAGATAAAAGTAATAATTTCTATGTTATGAGCGATTTTACATTTTATTCACTTCACAATAATTTACTTTTTAATTCATTTTCAAAATTTTCATGAAAATAAACAGGCATGCTGCTTTAAGTTAAATGTATATTTATAAACTTGAAACTATATTTAGTACAGATGAAATAAATTTACCTAATGTCGAAAGGTCACAAATAATATCCTACAAGAACATTAAAGTGATTGCATTTAAATGTCAATTGCTACCGGTTTATTTTCGGTATGCAAACATTAAAACATACATTCTATATATCGTAGTGTAACATGCTACAGATAAAATCAGTATGATACCTGAATGAATGAATGAATGAATGAAACAAATGCATTCCATAGATAAATCTAATAATAAATTAGGTGGTTTTCCAATGAGTGAGCTGTGTGAATGTAAATAGATTTTTGGGCTTTCCAAAAGATTTTCAAATATCTAGTAAAATATAGCTATGACTAGACCCAAATGCATTAAATTTTTAAAATAATGTTTTAAACCCTGGTTGGTCCCTTTTAATTCCCAACGCTTTTTCCCTTAATTAAACCCTTTACAGTTAAAAACCCGGGCATTAAGTTTTAGGGTGTACAAAAAGTTTCAGTTTTCCTTGTTAAAGTTGGGTGTGTGTACCTTCCCTACTCAATACTGTAATTCGGAGAGGTATGAAAGAAGGTGTAATCCCTGTTCTAGGGCTATCTGTAGGCAAACAAATGTTCCGTTGGCGTGCCGGTATATTTGTTTAAAGCAGAATGAATGTAAGTAAATAATATTTATAATCTAATTAGTATAATTTATTGAATATATTATAAAACTATATTTATTTATTTATTTATTTATTTTTTTAAAATGGGTAGAAATATATATATTAATAATGATTTGTTTTAAATATGTTCATACACTCTTAATTTCATTATAATATTCAAATTTCTTTATTTAATAAATTACTCTTAATTTTCTGTATGTATGTTATAGCATTATGTTAGGAACATGTTCACTCTTTGTATCTACATGTGTTTGACGATCCTTAAAACGGGTGCTTTTTAATTGTTTAAGTCAATATAATATACGTGCGGTTTTGTTTTCTTTGACTAATGCTTAAAATAGCAGTTTAAAAGCGTGATTGTACCAACGTTTAGAACACAATGTACCAGCCTATCCCGATACAAGCCTACACATAAATGTTAAATAAAGTAAAAAGCGTTCATTGTATTACATCGGTTGAGTATTAAATAGGCCTCGCATTCAATGGAGACTGTATACTGGGTATATAAACCTGATGGAATTCTTAAATGGACTTGACCAGATAAAACTATACGTAATGAATTTTGGGAATATGATGTTCAGGTTTGCCTGGCTGTATACTGGTGACGATGGCTTGCCAATCATATCACTTCCGGTCCAGCAGAGTTATGGTTAAAATTACCACTTCTCTGAAATATGATATCCTATCCCGGGTTAAAGGTTTTAAGAAATTATCTATGCTTAAACTTTGTTTGGTCTTAAAATCAGCTCAGAAAGTACACTGGTCATTATAAATCCTGAGATTTTATACTAAATACAAAAAATTGCATTATAACCTAGGACCCGGGTTAATTTTATCGACACCAGTCTGGCCAACTGCTAGGTTAAGCTGAGATTAAGTGAGAAAGCCATTAATTACATTTTTATAGATGAAATACCAATCGGGGTTTGAACCTGCAATATCCAATAAATGATTTTGGCCCTGTAACGTTAGGCCACCTCTGCGGTTTATTTAAAAACCATTTTCACCGATTGTTACATGAAAATAATTTCCCTTTTTATAAATATCTATGAATTTTGATATATTATAGTAACAACAACTTTGAAACCAACAACAATTACCTCACCACAGGCGAGACATGGGACTGATGTGCAAAGTAAGATTTATAAACTTTAAACAAAAGATTATCTTCAAATTAAATAAGTAAAGGATGAGTAAATAAATGATAAATAATAATAATGAATGATAAATAATTGATTATTTTTTATATTATCGAAATATACACGATGTGCTGCTCAAAGAATTAAAAGTGAAAGTACTTGTGAAATGTTTTTGTTTGTTTCCAGATGATTCAGGCTCAGTACATCTAATAATGATATACAGCGCTATCTCTTCAACTCTGCTAGTGGTTACACTGTTATCTTTTATCGCATATTATATTCATCGTAAAAAAGTTTCGAAAGAAAAGAAAACAAAAAATCAAAGTCAAACAATACATTACAGAACTAATACAAGAACATGTTCAGTAGATAACTTATTCCAGGAGAGTACTTTGGAAAACCAGGGAGTTTGTCATTATTGCGGACATTCACCTAGGCCTGAAAATCTTAATATTCATATAGCAGAAAACAGTGTTGGTCCACCTTCTTATAGAACTTATGGTAAGATAGTGTGTATTTTCAGTTTAAACAAATCAGTAAAATATCTGATGAAATTCTGTACACGCTGAGCTGTTTCTATTGCTAAACAAGTCTGGAGTCCCAATGATTATGACCTATAAATAAAACCAGGATTGTATATTGAACAGGAATATCCAAACTTGATCGAGAGTAAATGCCTAAACCTGTTCTTGTCGGTTAGGATTTATAAGATACGAGATTTTATAGATTCTTGCCAAGCAAAGTACATTTCTAGACTGGTGAATAAAACGGTCAATGTTTTATAGTATGATTTTGTTAACTGTTTTCATACTTTATTAGTACAATGAATTTCACTTGTCGTCACTTTACGTGATGTACTGGATCTCAGCATTTTATACATGTTTTACTATTTACCGCATTCTATGTTTTTCTCTCTTTTTTCTAAACAAATGGTGACATTGGTAAAGCATAAAATATATTATGTATACTAACATAACTTTAAACGCTCACTAGGTCTCTTAAAGCTTTTTACCATTTGTTTCAAACAAAGTATTGATTATCGATTAAAATAGCATTTTTTAACTTGTTTACTATTCTGTTGTTTATAGTTTGTTAATCATATCAGATATGGAGCGACAATGTATTTATAAACGCTTTATATTCAAATTTGATCTATTTCAGTAAACTTATTTTTATTGATCTACGTTATAATTATATTTTGGTAAGAACGTTATTATGTATCAAGAATGTTCCTGTCCTCGAATTGTGCCTATATTTTCCTGATCATTTCAGATCAAGGACGGCCTGTTTCCACAACAGGCTCACCAAGTGACAGCACAGATTCGGTACCGAGTTCCACTACTAAAACAGTACTGGTTAAACCTTTGGCGTCTGTAAGACCACCAGCCAAGGTTAACAAAAACAAAGCAGCGTGCAACGCCAATGAAATAAGTGACTCTAGTATGCAAACACATGAAATAGAAAGTTTACTTGATAGTCATGAGGCAAATGACACTGAAGAAACAAGTCGTAAAGGTTCAAATATCTGAAGACAATTATGTGACTTAGTCTTTACACAGTCAAGACCGTAGTGCCCTGCTGAACGGCAAATTTCACAAATACGTCACACGTACAAAATGTGTCAAAATTTGCGAAATATCGTAGTAAACACCTAGCCCCCTTGCAAGAGAAACGGAATTTTCACATGTTTTAAGGTGATGAAAATTGTTTGCGAGAATAATGTCCACATGCCCAAACGTCACACAATTCACGCTTTGTATTAAGATAGACAAGAAAAATAATGCTGGCATGCTCAGATTATCAAGCATTGGGTCATTGGATCACGGGTCAAGTTCATATACCAAGTGAAAATGCTGTATTATTCTGCACTATAAACTTTGCTAAGTTCGAGTTCACAAATATAATTGTATAGTAACTTTTGTGGTTAGAATCCGATTCCATATCAATTCTAAAAAAAATAACGTTAAATGTTAATGTTTTGATGAATGTTTTACTGCAATGTTGTGCGTGCCAGTTTAAAATTTGTAGTATACCGTTACTGTACCAGCACTATTTACAAATGTTGTGCTGAATGTCGTATTGAATGCCTTGCTACCACAATGTTTTGTGTTTCTGCAATTTAATACATGATTTCTAATCGCTGCACAGAATGTTGTACAAGCATAACATCCGGGCTTGGCTATTTGAATGTTGTGCTTATGTCGAACTTTAAACACTCTGCCATTCTCCCTACATGTTTCCTTTCGTCTGATATTTTACACTAATTTCCTTAGTCTCTCTATTGTGATATATTTTCTAATTCTTATTTGTACATTCAAAGAGATTACATCTAACTGCAACATTTCTGTATCTTTATTTTGAAATTTTACCTTTACTTATAAGTATTGTTTTACTTGTTATCCAATTCAGTCTGATTTTCTTTGTTGTGAAATGTTTGTTAATGTTGTTAATGTACAATTTATTGTATGAATAAAGTTTAAAGTAAACACTCTGCCAACTTCACAGTCACTTTTACATTTTTATCATATTATTATATACACGTATATTACCATGATGTCTATGATATCGATATAAAAATAAGTATTACAATGTTGATCATTTGATTGCTGTATTAAGCGTGCTTTGTCATTTTTATTTATTTATTTTATTATTTATTTATTTATTTATTGGTTTCAAAATGACCATAGCATAAACGTGTCACATTCTTTGGACAATGTTCAAAATCACTTGCCTTCTAGGTTAGAGACTTTGCAATGTATATAACAAGCTAGTACAAAGTTTGTAGTTCTACTTTAGTAAAGCAGATATAACATTGCTATTTCCTTTATGTTGTGTTTACCAGTTACTACATTAGTATATGTATTATGTTTGTAAACCATGTAGACATGTGAGATGGGATCATTGTTTGTCGGTTATTTGTACTTAATACTTTAACCTAGAAGAGCACATCCACATTATCAAAAAATGAACAAACAAAAAATCATAACATGTTTCAATTTGTAAATTAAAACAGTCGCTCAGTTGTTAGAATAAAGACAATTGTACTTTGATGAAAAGACACCAAATACATAATTTTCACGAGAGTATTTATTTGTATTAACAATTAGTAAACTCGAACTCGTCACGGTTTAAATAATAAAGACATGGCTGTTCTCTACTATTCGGATATGGGCTTTTAGTCCCGAAAACGTTACTCCTTAAATTAATGAGAGGACGTCACCAAACCTTTCACTTATGTTTAGTCGGAGGCATGTGCATTTAAAAAAATGGTCCTATTAGTCAAGACTTTCCCAAAATTGAACTTATGTCCTTGATTTTGTTAACATAAAAGCTTACTATGTTTCTTGGGTTGAAACTACAAGGACGATGGCGTTGGGATATAGTGTCAAACGAACATGGTTTTTACACTTTTTTAAGTTAACGTCCGTTAATGTATGAGAGAAATTGTTCAATGAAGTCAGTGATATTGAATACATCTACCTACAAAAATATGTAGATTAAATTAGTTAAACGTAATATGTACAAAAGTGGCCTATAAATTTTTAAGTTTACTATCAAGGACCTTTGTAAATAAATAAGATATAGATAATTTAATAGCCCATTTATAAGATTAAACATTCCGGGTAGGACATTGGCCTAAATTTTTTGCTATGTGTATTTTACGATGAATGAAATCTTTTAAAGTGTCACCTTACGATATGGTTTAGTGTTTCAATTCTGATTTAACTTCCTTATATATAAGATGAATGATTCAATGTAATCTGAAGAAAATTTATAAGAGACATGTATTAGTTTACTCATTGTTACGATATTTTAATGAATGATCAGATGAATGATCAAACTTATGATATGTCTGAGGAAATGCATACGTTATGAATCATTATGACGCAAAGTGTTTTACATTAAAGTATACATTGATTTTTATCCATAAGATTTTTATCAGTACATTAAAACGAGACATCTTAGTTTTTTGACATATAAGACAGTCACAAACCTTTGTATAGTTGATCTGTTTTTACATAATTTATTTGTATGATATTCTATTGGTAAACCCATAAAAATGAATGATCGTACATGTTCTGTATATACATTGTTGGGTTTGGGTTCTCCAATATCTGATCATCATCATGGATCAAGATTTTTGATTAATTTTGTACTACGTGAAGTAATCTATTTATACATATTACATAACTGATAGGATTGTCATTTCGCGCATACTCAATCTCATAGTTATGAATTATGTTCAATGATGTAATGTAAGACGTGCATATACATGTACATCATAACTCGTATAAGACAATGTTAACTTTATTTAATAATATTTGCTTTTTTTAAAATCAACATCAAAGGGTATTGCTTGCAATTAATTATGTATACCAAAATCAGCATGACTAAGGAATAGGGATATCCATCACCTTTTTCTTGATTCTGATTGTTTAATAGATGCAGATTCTCTGAATAGAGTGCGTTCTTTACAAAATTATGAAACGAAATTTAAATTGAAAAAAAAAGAAATAAAACTCCCCGTAACGAATATATTGTGTGTGTTTTTGTGTACACTGATACTGAAATTATACCTGATTTTAGTTGCTATTTCTGACTATTGGGAGTATAAATAATGCGCATATTTCTAAGTATTATTCTTCCTTGAATGCTCGTAATGAAAATGCGTACTCACGGATAGCATTTTCACTTAAATCAAATAAGTGTAGACTTCTAAGTAGCAGCAAAGTTATCAAATATGACATGTAGTCTAAATATAAAACAATTTTTGGTAAATGATAAACAAAAAAATAACCTGTATGTTGAAACATGTCGTAATCACAAAAGGGTCATGACGATCACCAACATCAATTAATGTTACATTGGTTCCTCAGAAGATCTATTTCAGGAATGTTTCATTTAATGCTCAAGTAATCATTTTAATGGTCCGAAATCATTAAAATAAGGACTAATTTAGGGATACTAATATATACATTGTATTGTGATAGTCCATCCACTGGATTATAAAAGTAACTAGTTTTGTCCGTTTTAAGCTCTAGTAGCCTCCCCCCGCCTTCTTAAGCAAATTTGACAGACATTTGAATGGTGCTACAGTTCAACTTAAGAAATCTCATTACTTTCTAACGAATTAGTCTTTAAACCCATCTTATATCAGCTTTAATCAAATGTATCTAAGTAAACTTGGCGGACGCTCTTTCATTGATGCCCCAGACCAAGTTGAATTGGTGCTTAATCAGTTGGCTCGGTTCGTTAAACAGTTATCTATTTAATAAATTTAATGTTTGATTTTTGATCATTTCTGAAATTAAATCCTCTGGCGCGGTTCCATTTCACATAACGATAACTAAATTATGTAATATTTATCTAGGTGTATCATTTTACCAGGAACGATTAGTTGTGTTTTAAAAATAGATTGTGCTGAATGACATCCGATATATTAAAAGAAAAAAGAAAGGGGAAAAAAGCAGATAAATTCTTGATATATCCGCATGCCTTATGAGGATAAGAAAACATAAGTTTTTTATAAGAGATGAATGAGACGATATATATTTTGTGACGAAAGTTTCGAAAATAGAAAATACTAGTATAGGGCATGTGTACTGATGAAGTTCTCCTCGACAAATACCCCGCGTTACAGGCTTTCTGCATTTGGTCTATATTCGAAGTGATCTTTGAAACAAGTTTGGCTGATACACTGACTCAAATTTAAACGTAGATTGTTTGCAAAAAAAGGAATAAATTATACATGTAATATAATTATATAACTTATGTGGTGAGTGCGGGCAGATATTGGGGCATTCAATCCATATCTATGATATGATATGCATGTACTTTAAAAATTAAAATTAAACACAATTCCAATTAATCGATGTTCATATATCTATTTATAGTTTTATTCATTTTCAAGTTCCAAGTATTAAAGGCCAAACAGAGAGCACGTATACTGTATAGCACGTAGAACTTATATCACGCCCGTTTAACTCACAACGAGTGAAAAATGTCCATCGGTTAAAATGTTGTGAGCAACTTCCGTTCCTCGTTGTGAGCACCCATCTTTGACGAGTGACACGATAAACAAGGTGAGTTTTTCATAATTTTTGAAGATTACAGACATTTATGTAAAAATATTGGAATGCAGTTAGCTAGCGATGTGTTTTCCGAGTATGCACATGTAAAGATATTGCCTTTTGATGGACAATTTGATGGAAATACCGTGCGACGCAGTCACTAGGGGTAGCTGAAAAACTGGAGACAACTTCTCTTTGGACCTAATTTAACATTGAAAACGTCGATTCTGGTGACATTTTGTGCATTCTAACCTAAAACAGATGCCCACAAGTCTTCAGCGTAAATTATTATCTGAAAGTCTTCGTAGAAACGAAGATATACTCTTTTTTGCTTTAATCCTCGTTGTGAGCACCATAACCTCGTTGTGAGCAAGACAAGCGCAGTGCTTGTCTGGTTTTTATATGTAATTCAAATGGCAAGAATACAATTTTCAATCTACCAAAAGCAATCAAAACGTTTTTGTACAATAGTTTTTCTTTGCAATAGCTCTTCTTTTTCTTTTTTGAAAATTATTCTTCATATTCACAAGTCATCAGATTAACAGAAGAACTAATCAGTGGAGGTATATCAGTTATTTTATTTCGTATACTCTAGTGTGGCACGAGTGAATATCACGGGGTGTTTATGAATATTTCAACAATTTCACAATCTGTGTGATACACACATACATGTGTTTATCCTGAGCTGAAGACTGACCAAGTTATGTAAAACAAGAACTATCACGGTAAGTTGACAATGCCCCTGAAGTGTTGCTTTGTCCTTTGATTTATGGACCAGATAGATTATTTGTTTTTGGACAATTAGATCTTCAATGTGAAGGTAATTCAAGGTCAAGGTGAAATAAATATAGGTCAGTTGGAAGGTCTTGTCCAAAGGGGCATTGTGTCAAAATATGAATTAATTCCGCTTACTTATAAAGAAGTTATGACCAATGTTAAAGTTTTTGGATGTTCTAGAAGGTCATTCACGGTACAAGGTAAAAAAACCAGATCAGTTCGAAGGTCTTGCCTAAAGGGGTGCTGTTTCAAAATATGAGTAGAATCCGTATACTAATAAGGAATGACCAATTTTTAAGTTTTTGGACAATTTGACCTTCGAGGTGAAGGTCTTTCAGAGGTCGAGGTCAAAAGAATATAGGATAGTTGAAAGGCCTTGTCCAAAGATGTGTTGTGCCTACACATTATGTCAGGACATTATATATGGCCAGTCTTAAATGTTTTTGGAAAATTTGACCTTCAAGGTAAAGGTCATTCAGGGGTCAAGGTAAAAAAATACAGGTCCGTAGGAAGGTGCTAAGGGATGTTGTGTTCAAATATGAATCAAATCCGTTGACTAATAAGGAAGTTATGGCCAATGTTAAAGTTTTCGGACAGATTGACGGACTGACAGACGGACATTTCAAAACTAATATGCCCCCATTTGGGGTATGCACAACGCCTTGCAAAGAAATGCTGCTGTGCAAAAACGTTTTAATTGCTGTGGTAGATTGAAAATTGTATTTTCACCATCTGAATTACATATAACAACCATACACGCATTGCTCTTGTCTTGCTCACAACGAGGTTATGGTGCTCACAACGAGGATTAAAGCAAAAAAGAGTATATCTTCGTTTCTATGAAGACTTTCACATAATAAGTTACGATGAAGACTTGTGGGCATCTGTTTTAGGTTAGAATGCACAAAACGTCACCAGAATCGACTTTTACAATGTTAAATTAGGTCCAAAGAGAAGTTGTCTCCAGTTTTCCAGCTACCCCGAGTGACTGCGTCGCATGGTATTTCCATCAAATTGTCCATCAACAGGCAATATCTTTACATGTGCATACTCGGAAAACACATCGCTAGCTAACTGCATTTCGATATTTTTACATAAATGTCTGTAATCTTCAAAAATTATGAAAAACTCACTTTGTTTATCGTGTCACTCGTCAAAGATGGGTGCTCACAACGAGGAACGGAAGTTGCTCACAACATTTTAACCGATGGACATTTTTCACTCGTTGTGAGTTAAACGGGCGTGTTATATTTTCTTGTATTTTTAATGGACAGCTTAAACAACTTAACGGATGTTAATTACTACTTTACTCGTACAGTTTGGATGTATACTTTAGACATTAAAACCAGTTTACGCAATTACTGACAAAATTATGAAATGGCAAAAAAAAGGGAAAAGAAATGAGTGTTTTATGATAATGATAAGTAATAATACTGAGTAATAATTAAATAATAACGACGACAACTACATGTATGTTAAAGATTCTACAAATAAATACTACTTTATAGTTCATGTACTAAACCCAATGATGATGAAATGTTGAAACCTAGATCAGAACTGAACAGAACTGTTATGTCCGGACAGAGCGACCTTTAGTTGTGCTGCCTTGATATTTGTATTACTAAATACACTTCCCGGCTGAGTCCATATTTAAGTGCCGAGTTATATTCATTTTAAAAAAATGCTGATAACTCATTGGGGTTTTTAACTACAATGATATGAATTATAAAAACCTAAATTACTTTTTCATCGGAGAAGTATATCAAAGTTAACTACATAAAATGTAATAAATAAAATGTAATACATAAATATATTTGTACTTTAATTGATAATATGACTAAATTAAACTGCTCTGAATTTCATGATTTCTTAGCACTTACATATTAAATTTATTATTAGCTAATACGTTTAGCAAATATCTACCTACCAAAGGGCCTAAGTTATTGTGTAGTTCAGCAGCAAGGGAGACAACACGTTAACCTTCATTCTTTGTTTTGATTCCCCTGGAATTTTCGTTGCACTGGGCCACAACATTGATAAGCAAGGACATTTTTTCCATTGTCTGTTTATCAGTATTATGCCAGATAGAATTTGCATAAAGGGATATTACTTAGGAATCTTCAACAATCTTAAACAAGTGATCTACAATTATGATCACAAGGACATGTGTACAATCTCAAGTTTATGCCACAGGCGTACGGCACAATTGTCATGCCAATAATGGTAAAATTATCATAAAAACACCCCTTGATCACCAAGAACAAAACCACTATTCAGCACCCGTTAACTATATAAAATATATAAAAAATCACTTTCCAGCACCCATTTACTAGATAAAATATATATATTATATAGTAATGGGTGCTGGATAGTGATTTTGTTCTTGGTGATCAAGGGGTGATTTTTTATGATAATTTTACCATATGCCAAATGTGCCGTACGCCTGTGGTTTATGCCGTACGCCTGTGGTTTATGTCTTATGTCGTCAACTAACAGTTCAAACAAAGCCGGATAGCCCTGCAATTCTATATAAATTGAACTACAAAAAAGAAACAACAGCAAATTGCATATTACTGCATATATTCTATTTTCTAAGTGTTTTATGTACATTATTACTGGTAAAAACAACTACGTATCGACTTCATGTTGAGATAACATTTAGTAATTTTCATTTTCTAAGCATTACAAGTTTAGAGCTTGGTAAACATGATAGCTGTTGGAGGAGGATTGTGTCCAGCTTTTTTCAGTGCTAAGATAGTAAACTGAACATTTTGAAAATAAAAAGATTATATGAATTAAATGTTACGTTGATCAAAGTAAAGTCAAGTACCTTTGACTTTAAAGCTGAATATGGGCATTACAAGTGGATTTCACCAAGTTGCATACACATATCAAGTTTAAGTCATGACTGAAGTTATTGACCATAAAAACTCAATCAGCAAATTAACAAAGATCATTGCCAGCTTGACTTTCAACATTTTGATCCAAAATGATAATAGTTGGTAATATTTGTGCAAACACATTTACAAAATAAGTTTATGGTTCCTAGGACAAAACACTTTGCTTTAGTGGCAAATTTTATGTTATGTTATTACAGTTACAAGTTACCTTGACCTTTGACCTTTAGTCCTGTAAATTGGTGTTGAAGTTTGAAGTCATTTAAGTGCATCCACGTACAAAGTTTCATTTTTTATATCCACATATAAAATTTCAATGTAATTGCTTAATAAATGACCATAAATGAAAGCTTAACTAATGCTGATGAGTTGGTCATGACAATAGCTCCATTTTTCTTCAAGAAGTGGGGCTAAAATGATTAGAGAGCCAGGGTTGCCCTGGATCACTCACCTAAGAACAACTGCAAGAAAATGTCATCTACAATGCATAAATAGGTTATAGAGTGATATTAAAGAAACATAATTTTTTTACCTCAGGGACATGATTTATATGCCTTTTATAAAGGTTCAATTAGCAATGTTCATGTACATGATAAATATCTAACTTTTCTAGACACGAAACTTTTAATGTTTTACCCTATCTAAGTATAAGTAAAATAAGTAACCCTTAAGGTGGAACCAAATTTGACTCTAGTGGCATAATTAACAAAACATAAAGATGAACGAGACAAACTACATGAAAAATATCTTAGATCTGTTTAAAAACAAAGCAAAATACATATTTTAATGCCTATAAGGGGCAACAACTCTGTAATATACGATTGGATGACAATGATCAGGCAACTTTTAGCAAAGGAACCAAGATCTACTAATGAAACTTGTATGTTAATGTTTACTTCAAATATAATTTTAAAAAAATGGAATGCTTATGAGCAAAACACAAAATTGGCTATTTAATGGGCCGTATCAAGTCGGTCACAACTCTGTGTGCATGATAAGATACAATGAACGTATCATCGACAAATACAATGAGCACATATGTTGCACTGGCATTGGCTATAGTCATAAAATATAAATGTAATGAGTTTATCAGGTCATAAAAGTTTGAAATTTTGAAACACTTTGTGAAGCACAAATGGAAACAAGAGCACCGCTAGGCCAAGCATTATATGCCCAAAAGTGATTTTTTTTAGTAAAGATGAAGCATTTGTAAGACATTGGAATTAAATAAAGTATTACCTCCTTCAAATGACAATCTTCCTATAAAGTTTGAATATTGTGGTCCAAATGGAACTTAAGTTATGCCCCAGAAACTGTTTTCAGTTTTAAGGAAATAGTGACATTGACCTTTGACCTTGTGACCCCAAAATCAATAGGGGTCTTCTACCCAATATGGACAATCATCCTATGAAGTTTGAACACTGTGGGCCAAATGGAACTTAAGTTATGTTCCGAAAACAGTTTTCAGTTTAAAGGTAATAGTGACCTTGACCTTTGACCTTGTGACCCCAAAATCAATAGTGGTTTTCTACTCAATATAGACAATCATCCTATGAAGTTTGAATATTGTGGGCCAAATGGAACTCAAGTTATGCTCAAGAAACTGTTTTCAATTTCAAAGTAATAGTGACCTTGACCTTTGACCTTGTGACCCCAAAATCAATAGGGGTCTTCTTCCCAATATAGACAATCATCCTATGAAGTTTGAACACTGTGGGCCATATGGAATTTAAGTTATGTTCCGGAAACTGTTTTTAGTTTTAAGGTAATAGTGACCTTGACCTGTGACTTGTGACCCCGAAATCAATACGGGTCTTCTAGCCAATATGGACAATCATCCTATGAAGTTTGAACACTGTGGGCCATATGGAATTTAAGTTATGCTCCGGAAACTGTTTTCAGTTTTAAAGTCATATTGACCTTGACCTTTGACCTTGTGACCCCACAATCAATAGGGGTCTTCTACCCAATATGAACAATCATCATATGAAGTTTGAACAGTGTGGGCCAAATGGGACTTAAGTTATGCCCCGGAAACTGTTTTCAGTTTTAAGGTCACTATGACCTTGACCTTTGACCTATGACCCCAAAATCAATGGGGGTCTTCTACCCAATATAGACAATCATCCTATGAAGTTTGAATATTGTGGGCCAAATGGAACTTAAGTTATGCTCCGGAAACCAAATTGCTAAAGGACAGATGGTTTAGGGGCTATTTTCTTTGTTATTTTCTTTGTTTTCTTAAGGGCTACTAGCCCATAAATCCTTTGATCACGGAATGAACCTATTGTTCTCTTTTGTTCTCTTTACTGTTATATAGCCCCTAAACCCAAAATGTTTGCTCTGACGGACGGACGCCAGGGGGTATAACATAATGAAGAATTTCGGGCATATAAACAACTCCATTTGAACAGGACATTGGTTATAGTCAGTTACAGTATTTGTTAACTAATATAAAAGGTGCAAGTAAATTTCTCAAATTACCGAATTGACTGTATATTAGGTATGTATATTCTGTGAGTTATTTTCCCTAAAACCACCTTAACTGATCTCATGTGAAGGTATGCAAGTAACCTGTTTACTTAGAAATGAAATAGCTGAGCAGACTGACATATTTTCTAGTCCTTTTATCAGTCAATTGGTTATAATTACATTTTAAATAATTCTTATTTACTAAACCGATGATTTTCATTCAGTGTTTACTGAAAACAAATTTGAACAAGTAAACTAAAAATATGATTTAATCATATCCAAGCAGGCAACCTGGTATTCTAAGAACAAGCATTTCCAAACCTTCACTGACAATGTTGATGAACAATGTAATTCATCTTTCTATGCAAATCAAGTAAAATAAACAAAATGAAAAATGTTCAACAATAAGAAGGACTTATATGTACTTGTACAATTGTATATAAATATACAAAATTGTTATTGAGAAGGCTCTCATTTAGTATAAGTTAACAGCGGAATTCCATTCTCACTAAAATAAATGTATATGTAACAAACAATAACTTTGTAAAAAACATGTACCTCTGAATGTAAAGTAAACGACACAGATTTATCATTATGAACTCATTGCACATTTTTTCAAATTCTATTTTAAAGGTCAAATAAAAAGAATGCATATAATCAACTGTATAAATGAACACAGCATAGCACAGAAACCCACTTCATTTCAAGTATTTTTCCCTGACTAAGATTTAATAAAAATTGCACAATAAAAGTTATTATGGTATCAAGATCTCCCAAGTCTATTCCCTTCACCTTCAGGTGACCTTGTCCTTGACCTTGGACCACCTTGACCTCTACTTCCTTGATCTTCACCTCCACCACCAAAGAATGAAGCAAGTCCGCCACCAGAAGTGCTTATTTTAGACACAAAAAATAACACAGCAGCTAGTAGTAATCCTGGTAGTCCTAACAGCAGTCCAGCAAGAATAAATCCAACTGAGACTATAGGCTCTACTGTATGAGAACCTATGTTAAAACGAGGGAATCCATAGTCAACAAGTCTTTGATTTAGTCCATCAAACACCGAGGCTTGTTGCCCGCCCTCTCCCCCTCCACCCTCATACTGCCTTGCCATTTCATCAGGGTCATGCTGTATTCTACCAATATTCTGTAAGTATAAATATTATAATATTGATGAATTAATCAGAATGTTCAATGTATGTTCAAGTAACTGCATGCATGTTCAGAATTAGGAGTTGAAACATTCTTTGACAATGTTTGTCTATTAGTGTCTTCAAGAGCCTAGATTACTGACTTAATTAAGTCAAATTTAATAACACAATGAAATCTATGCTTAAGAGAAAATTTTCTGATCTGATATTCCTTATACTATGTCATGACGTATTAGATGGTACTCATACTGTTGTAACTATAATGCCAATTAAAGTTTAAAATTGGCAACACACTGCTTTAGAAAAAAACATGACATTGGGTGTATACCTGTCTAGGTCTGGCATTTCCTTGCTGTGCACGGGGATCATTGTCACTCACAATTTCGCCTGTTTTTAGAATACGAACCATTCTTTCAATCTGAAAAGTATTTTATTCCATTAATTATAACCACAATCTAAAATTTGAAATAACAGAATACATTACTATACTAAGAGCTTAGCCTGCTAGCTGCAAATGAATTTACACATGTGACCAGTGCAGACCAAGATCAGCTGGCAGTTCTGTGCTGTCTATTCATAATTTAATTACACAGTTTGCTTTTTAGTAGGTTCATATTTTGAAATTTGCCCTTCTACTAACAAATGGTTTTGTCCAGTTTGGAGATGAGCAAGCCCATTGTGTAAAGTAACTTCCTTTGTTTACTTGACAATATTTTTTTCAAAATGTTCATGAAAATTAAAATTAATCCAGAGGCATGCTGTTTTAAATGATTTCTAATTATTTTAAGTTAACTTCTGTCAAAATGTTTGAGTATTAACTGAATAACTAATATACATGTATACATCTCATACATGTACACTGGTACAGATGTAGCCTCAGCCAGTCGATCTACTGTAGAGTTCACATTTGACTTACTGATAAGACTTTAAAATAATCATTAACGCATTGATCACCTACAACAACAAGAATCTATGATAACGTCACATTCAATTTCAATTGACATCTGTTTATAAATTAATAAAAGTTAATTAAATAAAACTATCGATAGCTACCTGTCCAAAAGTCAGTAAGCGCTTGAAAATGACAGCTGTCATTGAACCAAGCGCCTGACTGATCGGAGCAGACAGGGAGGTAACAAATAATTATTTCATTACAAATTCATTGCATTGCCTATAGGGAGATTGATATCGACTCATAAATATACAAAATTGATCGTATTTTCAAGCACTTTAAAGGGGCACATTTGTATGCGATGCTCTTTTTTTCATTTCTTCATATGTAATAGTAATTGAGATTAGTAAATTTCGGATGTGCATTGTATTCGGATACTCTATTAATTATTGTTATTTTTCAGATCTTTTTATAGTTTTACAAGTTTATTTGTTGTTGTAACGTTACTGTTCAGCCCTCTAAGTGGACATTGACATATTGCCTTATGTTTCTCAAGTTGGCTGCTTCCTGGTTGTTTATAACCAATAATCATACCATGAAACTGAAAGTGTGGATTGAGGAAGCTGAAAGAGAATCTCACCTCTGGTTGGTGTTGATCTCACTGCCTCTGGATTTATAGTCTGGTGTAGGCCAAAGTTTATCAGACCACCAGTGCACCTTGCAATGCTTCCACAAATCACTAATCTATAACAACAATCTGATAGATATAAACTAGATAATTCACCTCTGAGTGTCCAGTGCCCACTGACAAAATCTGCCCAATTATAAGTGACTTGACCAACTTTAGTGACAATTCCACCCAGATAAGTGACAATTAGGCCAAGTTCAAAATAATCATTTAAGATGTTCTTTAAAATCATTAAAATTAAGAAATGATAAGATAAAAAGTATGTTTTGGTATGTTTGTGAAATGAAATATTTTCTGTATCTATCTTTAACTGATTGGTCATTTTAACTGTTTGGTTATCAGTATTAAAACTAATTCACCCCAGTTCAGTGATGATTCACCTCACTTTTAATCTTAAATAATCATCATCATGGCATCAAATCATTTTCTTTCAAGCATGTTTTAGTTATATATAATATTCTTTGCATTTGTTGAGTTATAAAGATCAGCTTTTCTAGTTTGTGGTATGCACTGAAATACTACATATTTTTAGTAAAAGCTCTTTAGTTATATTATAATAATCAATTTTCAGTTTTAGAAAAAGACACAGTAGACAGTGTTTCATCCAGAGTGCGTTTTTGCCAAATTTTTTTACAGCCTTGATGAAATATGATTCAATCAATGTGTTTCCTGTGATGCAGGAATTTATTCTTAATAAATTTACAGTACATCTCAAATTATGACAATATCATTGAAGTCCACGGCAAACTGTTTTACAAATCATGCACTGCTTTGTCTGATTTTTACAATTTTATTCCTTTTAATTGTCGGTCAATATAACAAAAATTCTCTTTTAAGCATACAAGGGGGCAATATAATTATGTCCAATTATTGTCCATCAAGTCCATGTAGTAATCCCATTTTCAAAACAAACTACACAACCCTCCTTCAGTCATTACACATTTTACATGCCTAAATCAAGTGACACAGTGTATACTTGCAAATATGGAAAGCATGATGCAACTGTGTTAACAATTAATTTTGTGATTGAAGGTGAAGTTGCAATGTACATAATTATCTTTTACACTGGCTTGTGAATGGAGCTAAGTATTCCCGACAGTTTTTTTTTTTAGTTTATTTAGAATTTACTGTATACAACATTATTTTCTTTTCATTTTTCCATGGCTGAATGAATTATAGGGAAGGTGCTGATATATGCAAACAAACATGGTGGTTCCAATTCTCCTTTTTATTTCTTGGTTAAAATAAATGGTTTGGCATGACCCTCTAAAATTTAAAGTGCCCCTAAATTCTGATACAAGGGTTAGAAATGACCCCCTTACACTGTTAAGTAGATGTAATTTACATTATTTTGACTAGTACAAATAAACAAAAGAAATATTTTCATTTTGACTGTAAATATATTATGACTGTTACATGATCAATATGTTTCAAACTATAAAATATTATTAAATAAGCAAATATAGGTCAGAATAAACACATGTTAAGACCAAGTGTAGAACTGCCATGTTAAATTATTTGAGAATAAAGAGCATTCGCAAATATCTGACTCAGGACGCCACAAAAATCCTATTATTGTCGCTTGTAATCTCACATTTGGATTATTGCAACGCTATATTGTTTGGCATTTCAGAAAGTGAGTTACAGAAATTACAGCTGTCCAGAATATGTGCGCTAAACTTGTTTTGCAACGCGGAAAATATGACAGTTCCAAAGACTCTTTGTTTGAACTGCATTGGTTACCAATTAAAGCTAGAATCAATTTTAAAATACTATGTACAATGTATAACTGTTTTATGGGCAATGCTCCGGTTTATCTAACAGAACTGTTACACAAACCTGTCATAAAAAGACCAAATCTCAGATCTGTTGATAATATGGATTATTGATTTGCTGTCCCCTTTAACAAAAGGAAAACATTTAACGACAGAAGTTTTAGTACCGTTGGTCCAACTCTCTGGAATAAATTGCCTCTGTATATAAGACAGTCTTCGACTTTGGACATGTTCAAGAAAAATGTCAAAACCTACTATTTTAGAGATTTTTATGCATTGTTTTAAGATTGTGATTGGGCTGTAAACTGATCAAGATGTGGAAATGTGTTTAAAATTTTACTGAAATAACCATTAATTTTTATTTTCTTTTAAATTATTTTTTATTATTATTTTTTATAATTATTCTTTTTATACTTTATATTTTACACGGCTGATTTCTTTTACTTATTTTTTTGTAGTTAATTTGTCATGCATATGTGATTTTTTATCTATATGTACATACTTTTATTATCCTTTTGTACAACGCCATTGAATATGTATATAGAAATAGGCGTTTAATTAAATAAAACAGTTTCAGTTTCAGATGCCATCCTCTCAATATGTATTTGCAAGAGCAAAATAACAAATAAATAAAGAAAAATCCACATTCGCATCCTTGAGGTGAAAATTTGTACGGCAAATTGTTATATTTGCTTTCATTACAACCTTTTATTACAGATTTTATATTGTGTTGTTGTAATACCCTAACTGTTGAGTTTCAATGTTAAGTTTTTATTCAGATGGAAGAGCAAGTATCTGAAGAGCCCACAACTAAAGCTACATGTAGCAACACCGAGAAAGAGGAACAACAAGCTGAAAATGTGCCAGAAAATACAGAGGATACAGATGCAGCTTCTGGATCTAAATTAGAAAAAAGCACTGATAGTACAGGTATTGGTAATAAATACAAAATTCTGAGACAAAATAAAACTTTTGATGTAAAGTAGTCTACCTGATTAATGATCAAAATATTTTCAAAAAAATGAATTCCCAAGTTAAAAATTGCTATTATATAAATTATTTTATACTCTTATTTTCTGAAATCAAGAAAATAATTGGTAGGTATACCAGTGTAGTATTCAGTATAATACCAGTATACTGAATAGATTTATACAGTCAGGGCCAAAACACCATTTTTGGGGAATGGGCCTCAGCCTTTTTCTTGGGTAAAATATGCATGATTTTGGCATACTTTGGGAAAAGGGGTCTCAAATTTAACCACACTTTTAACAAGTTCTTCAAAATAGAAAAGCAAAAAGCACTGGGAAATACTTATAAGGCAGTAAAAGACCTTAATTCAACACCTTTATTTAATTTTGTTCTAAATCTATGGGAAATTTCAAAAGACTGGGGAATTTTGAGGACCAAACTGGGGAAAAAAAGAGGCAAGTTTGGTTGGGGAAGTAGACTATATTAGGCCTCTACAAAGAAGGGTTTTTTGGCCCTGACAGTTGTCATACAATATTGAAACAAGTTTAAAAGGTTTCCTGATAAGATATATAATTCAAGTGTGTGAAGTTTCAATCCATTCTCTTCAGTGGTCATTAAGATACCAGCTTACATACACACAAACTTAAACAAAAATTTCCGAGTAATTAGGGGGCATAATTCTGCAAAAAAGAAAATCAGAGTTATTGGACGTTTGTATATATATTTGAGAATATGTATACAATAAATGATCAAAAGCCAAAGGTAGTCTGTATCATCCAAGCATTTGAGATTTGTCTTCCAAACGTCCTGATGATACAGACTATTGTCAAATTTACATTTATTTATTTTAAGCTCGCTTGAGCTGGCTCAAGGTGAGCTTTTAGGATTGTTGAATGTCTGTCGCCTGTTGTATGTTGTCTGTCCACATTTAGTACATTAACACTCCACAGGAGCCAAAAATAAAAAAAGAGAAAGAATATTGTTTTGAAGATTTCAAGCTCGAGTTTGAATATGGGTCACCTGTATTCAAAAACTAGGTCACACGGCCCAAATATGGAAAATCTTGATAACACACTAGAGAAAAAATTTTCACCTCAAATATCCTGAAAATTTGTGCGAAAGTTTGTTTCTAGGTCAAGTTCGAATATGGGTCATCTGGTCACACAGCCCAAATGTGGAAAAACATTGTTTACACTCTAAAACTAACATTTTCACCCTAACTATGCATGTTATCAATAATTAGCATTTCATCCAATATCAAATTGAAATTTAGAATATTGAGTCAGGTTAAAACCTATTTCTACCTGTCTTTTGTAAATATCTCATATTTTTCCCCACAGTACTAGGTATTGATATACTGATACAGATACATAATTTTCCATCAAAGGGAAAAAAAAGTTATCGCAAAATTTGCCAATTTGGAAAAATATGCTAGCATTCAAGGTATTTGGGCTTGTGTAAAAAAAAAATCACATATTAAGAAAGTAATGTAGAAAAAATATCTCTAATTTTGTGTAAAGTGGCTCTCTTGAACACTGATTTTGATTTTCAGAAGTTAGTGAGAAAATGATATCAAAGAAACACACATTCTTTAAGTATGTTGTATTTGTGACCTAAACAAGCATGCAAAGCAGCATGTTGATAGATTTTACATAAAATACGCATTTCTGTTTACGTTGATTGGAGATCATTTATGATTACTTCTAACATATTGTAGATGAAGTACAACAGTCAGATGAAGTGGAGGTAGATCCTGCAGTGATAGAGAAATTCACTCTTGGTGTGTTAGAAATGTTCTTACCTAACCTACAGAAAGCAAAATCATCTCTCAATGAAGTCCTGTAAGTATCATATAGTCTTGATATCATAAGGGTATTAGTATTACAAGTTTTTTAAAGTGTTAAATGATGTATAAGGATGATAAATAACTCATTATTACTGTTTTAATTCAAAGGTACAAAATTTATAATAAAGACATATGGTAAAACAGGCCTGTAGATTATCCCAAAATAAATTTTGTATAATTAACTTCTTTTATGTGTATTGTGACACTTATTACATGTATATTTGGGGCATCTGTGGCCGAGTGGTTAAGGTCGTTGACTTCAAACCACTTACCCCTCACTGCTGTGGGTTCGAATCCCAACAGGGACTTTGGATTCTTTCATGTGAGGAAGCTATCCAGGTAGTTTACGGAACGTCGGTGGTTCTATTCAGGTGCCCATTTGTAACTGAAATAATGCACAAAAGGGTACCTGAGGTCTTCCTCCGCCAGTAAAGCTTGAACGTCACCATATGTTATATAATGTGTTGGTGTGATGTAAAACCCAATTAAACAAACAAGCAAAAATGTACATTTTTTTGCTCTAATGGCTGAAGGTCATTTCCATATTTTTGACTAGTGAATATTGCCTTAAAGTAAAAGATTAGGATATGCTTTTGAGATTTGATGTTACACTGACCACATAGTATTGTATCCATAAAACTGCTGTACAGATCCTTATGCCAGGTAACAGGATTTAAATTGTTATAATTATTAGTACAAGACATCAGTGTGTCAGGCACTAGTTTTTTTTTTTCTTGAAGATTGAAACCTATTTTATGTCTTCGACAAAATAAGTATTCATGAAATGTTTTCCATTGTATAAATTTTAGACATAACCAAGAAGTACTAATAGAGACTGTACAACAAGAGAACTCCAAGTTCACAGATTCTGACTGTATGAAAAAACTTATTGATACGGTAAGTTTATTATATTATCCTGTTACCCAGTTATAGTTCATACAAGCAAGTTTCACAGGGTGAGAAAAATGTGCAGCCTGATTAGGACTTGAACCCAGGACCCTCAGAATACCATACCGCGACTCTACTGACTAAGCTATCAGGCAGCCTACACACTATCTGGTAAATAGTGAATAGTTCTGAATCATGATATAAGCTTTAAATATTTGTTGTTTGTCCATCAGTTTGTTGTATGTGCATTCTTTCTTTGAATGTAACTACCCAGACAGGGTTTGAAGTGACATGTAAGCCATGTCAATTACCCTGCAGCAAATTACAGGCCACTCAGCTATTTTAAGTAATTCGTTTCGTGCTATTTCTTATAAACCATTATACTTCATGAAATGATCAAGCTTCTTTCCAACATGATAAAAACAACAGTTCCCTAGGAAAAATTCTCTCTCAAATAATTTAGAAAGAAAGCCTGAAAAAACATATCAGGAATGTCCTTTGGGTGTCTGAAGCTCTTTTCTTACGTATCATACATGTAGCTTGATTGCTTCCACTGTTAAGCGATATTAATGCACATGGCTTACCTCGTGTAACATTGATTCTAAATATGGAATTTTATCTTGACTTAACACAGATTGACCTGTAAACTGGAAAGGTAAATAAATCCATGTCAATTTTATTGGTCCTGTATTCTAAGAAAGCACAATGTTTTTATCAAACCATTTGTTCTAATAATTTGTCTCATCACAAGCCTTTTACCTTCAGATATTATGTGGAGAAGCAGAACAAAATCTGCCAAACATTATGTACAATACAGAACGAAGGAATAATTGTTAGGTTACTGTCTAATGGTACTGAAACAAACTGATATTAATATGATACAAAGTAATGTCCTTGAGAAGAATGTAATTAGAGCTTTTAGTTTCAAATGCTCCTCTGAAAAGATAAAAGGTTAAATAATAAGACTAAACGAAATAGAATTAACATGATAATTGCATCAAGATTTAATGAAAACCTCTTGCTGATATGTTTTGTCTTGTTTGTATTTGTCTAAGTAAAAATTAAATTTTACATTGTTTTTTTTTCCATTTTGAAATTGTATAGAGCCAGGACAGCCTGTACAGACGGACTGAGACCAGACTCAATTTGCCAACTTCTTTTAAATTTTCTCTTTATATTCCCCAATATTAACTATCACAGTTCCAAAAATGGAACATCTTCGTTAAACTTTATGAAATTAAGCAGGTGAACAAATATCAGTAACAATATATTTAAATTGATCAGTCAATAGTAAAAGTGACAGATCAAACTTTGTGGAAACTGGTAGCAGAGGCAAGCCATTATTTTCACTATAGAGTTTTAAAAGATCACTTTATCAGTACCATAACAAATTTATCAACCTATAATTCAGATGTATTTCTTACTATAGATGCAGGAAGCAAAACACTACCACATGAAATTAGTGAATTTGAAACGGGAAATGAATGGACTAATGGATAAATCTACAAAATTAAAGGTAAGTACTAAGTATGAATGAAGTAATCCAAGGGGTTACTGTCAGTTCCTTTATATTGTATGCATAATTGTAGAACAAATTTGCTGAATAGTATGTACAAATATTCAGACTAAAGGAAAAATAAATTTCATAAGTGACCATTAAATTTCTAGCTCCTTGTATGAAATGAAGAATCTGCATGACTAGTGAAAACTTCTACAATAGATTGATTGCTGTTATACAAACAATTTGAAGGAAAGAATGTTGACAATTTAAAAAAAAGTGTGATGGCAAACACATTATATGAAATATAACTGTGTTGAATATACTTCAGCTTATTCATATTTCCACAATTTTATGTTTATTTGCAAGCTAGAATATGAACTGATTTTGACTTTGGGTGATTTTTGTCCATAAATTGTTATGAGAGGTCATCTGAACTCAACATAATGCTTATATTTAACACTAAAATTAAATACTTCCATAAATTTTTCTTCTCAATAATCTTCTTGTTAACTAAATATTCACTAATTTCAGCGAAGGGCTGTGAAATTACAGCAAGAAAAACAGAGAGAAGAATTAAGACGTGCTGTTCAGATTGAAAAGGAACAAGAAAGAGAAAGAATGTTAACAGCAAAAGTTGCCAAACCTTCACAGAAGAAACAAAATACCCAAACTTAGCATGAAGCATATTGTTTGGAATAATTAAATCGAACTAATGTTGTTATGTGTTAAATTGTTGTGATTAATAAGTTAGAGCAAACATTTAAGATGTGTTTTCAATTCTAATAATTTTATGTCAATATATACATGTACATGTAGCCTGGGATTCAGGCATTGATATTTTTAGCTTATTCATAACATACACGCTATTTCATACTCATTTGTGTTTTTGATAATATCAACACCTGGGGAATGACTTATGATAATCCTATAAATAGACTGATTAGCATGTGGCCACTTTCTGTACATAAAGGCGTTCCAATTTTTCCTCAGACCGAAAGCATGCTAACTTTATCAACCAAAGACTTAAGTGTTGATAATACTTTTCAAAGTTAACAGTTTAAGAATGCTTAACTTCATGTTTTTATGTCATATGTAGTTTTCTTATAGTACCATTAAAGTACATCCATGTTTTCTAAAAGACTTTGCTAAGATAACGATCAGAAATTAAATTAATATAGGACATAACCATCAAAGTTATATTGATTATTGTGTGTGATAATTTTTTTGTGTTTTTAATAATCAACTGTAAGCAAAAGTACTTTCATCTGTATTAGAACTGTATTATATACATGTATGTGTGACAATGATTGCATCTTTTTGTAACCACTCAATATGTTTCTGTTACATGCTGTACAAATGTTGAATATAGGCCAGAGGCCTTAATACGAATACACTTTGAAACTTGAATATTTACTGACATTGTTGGCTACATTATAACTGTTTTCAGTTACCTTTAAAACTTGAATGATTTTAGCATTGGGTGTATGTTATTGTGATTTTGCAGTATTGCCTATTTCATTTGGAACCCTATAGTGATATAGTTATAAACATGTAAATGAAGTTATAAAGTGTACATACCAGTGCCTGCGCAACCACGAGAAATTTCTTCGAGATAATATTGATAAAGACCTATGATAGGGAATGGGAACTTCATAGTGTAGTAGGAAACAATGTTGCAGGATTCTAAGCTCTTTCTGTTAAGCTATAGCTCAATAATCTTGTAGAAATCGTTATAAAACTGTATGAGAAGATAATTAAATAATAGTACTGGTTCTGTTATTGATTACTGGTAAAGCAAGGATATGTACATTTGTACTTGATATACACAGTGAAACGAGGTCAACAGATTTGTTGAATTTTCTACATACTGCATGTACATGTATCTAAATATTTTTTGTATGATGTACAACATTGTATTCACAATTCATTTTATAAGATAAAATTCATTTTGTTTTGCTTGTTTTCATATATTTGCCATGGAGACCTATTTATAATGAGTAAACAATAGGTGCACAAGTTCAAATATGTTTTAAATTGATTTTACTGCTAGTATTTGACACTGTATGGTTTTAATTTAAAATTAATGATAGTTGATGTACACAACTGTGTAGAAGGTGTTTTTATTTTAGTGCTACTAACATTCTAATGTACAATTTAGCAGCAATGTACACATGTGTATAAGTAAGTGTTTTGAGTACATGTACACAGATGTATGAATTTACACAGATGTATGGAGTGTATATTAAGGTAATATGGTTAAATGAAAGTGAAATGATGAGTTTGTTAGGGTGTTGATGTTCTGTATATATGTGTTACATTTACATTGATAAATACTGTAAACATTCCATTGTGCAATAAATTATAATTTATGTATGAATAAAATATACCATGAAAGGTTCAGTTCTGTTTTGTATGATACATGTATGGTTATAGATAATTCCTCGTTGTTGTAAAAAAAAAGAGTAGTTTAGTTTGATGACTATGAACACTTTTATCTTATTACCATATTACTTGTACTGTACTGCTGGAGATTTTATGGTGCAAGTGAACTTATATGCATCTACCTTACAGAAGGATGGTTGCTCTATTGCTCTATCCCAATATACACAATACATTAGTGCCATTAATTATGTACATAATTGCTGTGAAGCTACATGTAGGTCAGTGTATCACAATATAACCAAACAAAAATATTGATATTTACACTGCTTTGCAATAAAATGCATATAGTCACTTCTTCAGTCCTGCATTTGTCTTGGCTTTAACAGAAACCTTTGACATATTCATCAAAACCTCATAGGATGCATCACTAATAAGGTTTATACATGTACATATAAGTAACATACTTTCTCTTAATTGAACTCTCACAGACTTGCAGTTTTTTACACCTGTGTCTTTTTGGCCAAACTGTTACTAACAATGACAAACTGAAATTCATCAAAGCTTCTAAGGTTCCATATCTATCACGAGATTGGCATGTGTTTGCAATTAAATGCAGTTATTGTTCTTATTTCACAGGAAATTCTTTTTGAATATTTTGTCTGGACTACATTTTATCAGACAAACGAATATTAAATGCATGCTCCATTTATTTAAATAATATAGGGAACAAGAGGGCCATGATAAATCATATCTGAGATTGCTATGGTCCAAATTCTTCAATACATGAAGTAATTGGGTTACATTCGGACACATCATTTTCCCCACCAAACAGCACAATTTCATAGAGGTCTCCACGAGGAATATCTAAATTTTAAGCAGCAGAAGAGTTTTAATGCATTTTTCTGTAAATGTCTTTATAAAGTTACGCTCCCTTGCAGCTCAGTGAATATACTCACGCTAGAAAGTGAGTGATAGTGCACAGGAGAGTAAAACTAAGTAACACTGGTGAAGGGTCAATTGTGACCCTAAGAGCATAATATATATATAATTTTATGGGCCAATTTTGATCCAAGCGGTATTTTAGTTTCACACAAGACAAGGTTGTTTCCATCAGTTAATGTAAACTAATGTGACCCCCATAATGGGCCAACTTTGACCCAAGGGCCATGGTTTATAATGCTTCTGTAGATGACCACAAACTAATGCTTCATTCCAAATTCCTAAGAGGGGGCACTATGGTTTTGTCTGAGAATATTTGTGAAAAGTTCCAAAATTTGGAAGTCAGAGACTGAAAAATGTCAAGACATTGCAATTGGAAGTCACATTATATAGGTAAAGAAGGAAGACATAATTATTTACACAAGGCAGTCTGAAGGACAGCTAAATCCCCTTCCACAGTGATAATGAATGTGTATTTTTTCTTGACCTTTTACCAGCTACGACTATGATGTTATGCCATGCATATCATAAACGCATAGCCTCATGATGGTGATTATTTGTGCCATGTTTTTTAGAATCTTCCATAAAGTAAACTAAAAATGTGTCTATAGGACACGGGTGCCCCTACACTCCACCAATTTGTCAATCTTATGTCTCTAGGTCAAATATTTATTTTTGGCTACATGTGCCCAAGTTGAAAACTAAAAATCTTTTATCAAGTAAAGGGCAAATACTACAAATACTGAATAAATCCACAAGAAAAACCCAAGGTGCATAAGTACACATGCTGACCAACATTCTTGTAAACTTTCAGGCCTACAGGTCAAATACTTTTTTAGTTACGTGCAACACAAGTTAAATATTGTAAATTTTTACTAAATCAAGGACAATAACTCTACAAAACACTAAATATATCCACACAAAAAAACCCAGGTGCACAATTACACATGCTGAGCAACATTCCTGTAAGGTTTCATGACTCTAGGTCAAATACTTTTTTAGTTACGTGCGACACAAGTTGAAAATTGGAAATTTTTACTAAATCAAGGGCAATGACTCTACAAACACTAAATATATCCACAAAAAAAATACCCAGGTGCACAACTACACATGCTGATCAATATTCCTGTAAGGTTTCATGACTCTAGGTCAAATGTTTTTTGAGTTATGTGACACAAGTTGAAAATTGCAAATTTTTACTAACTCAAGGGCAATAACTTTAAAAATACAAAATATATCCCCATGAAAATACCCAGGTGCACAACTACACATGCTGATCAACATTCCTGTAAGATTTCATAACTCTAGGTCAATTACTTTTTGAGCTACATGCGACACAAAAAGAGAACGGATGGACAGACAAGAGTAAATCTAAATGCCCCCCCCCCCCATAGTGGGGCACAAAAATGTTATGGAGAACATATAACCTTGACCTTGGGGGTAGCAACCTGGATGTTGAACTCTGCAGATTGTGTCATGGTGGTGATCATTTGTGCCAAGTAATTTTAAAACCTTTGAATTGTCAATAATTTATAGAGTGGACATAAAAAATAGATGTTTTTTACATTGGACCTTTGAGTGTGACCCTGACCTTCAGGGTTGTGACTTTATTATTGTGCTCTGCCTATGGTGTGATAATGGTCATCATTTCTGCCAAGTTATTTTAAAATCATTGCAGTGGTTAAAATGTTATGGACAGAAATGAAATATAGACTTTTCAATATTTGACCTGTAAGTGTGACCTTGACCTTGGGTGTAGCAATTCAATTATTGCGCTCTGCACATTGTCTCATAATGGTGATCACTTGTGCCAAGCTGTTTAAAAGTTATGGAGGAGACATAAAATGTAGATTTTTATGCATTTGACCTTTAAATGTGACCTTGACCTTGGGAATGGCAACCCAATATTTGCACTCTGCACATGTTCTTAAAATGGTGATCAATTGTGCCAAGTTATTTTTTAAAAACTTCAGCGGTTAAAAAGTAATGGAGCAGACACGAAATGTAGACTTTTTAACATTTAACAAGTGTGACCTTGACCTTTTCGGTAGCAAGCCAATTATTGCGCTCTGTAGTCGTCTTATAATGGTGATCAGTTGTGACAAGTTATTTCAAAAACAAATTCTGCAGTTAAAAAGTTACGGTGAGGTCACGAAATGTAGACTTTTAATATGAAATGAAGACCTTTTCACATTTGACCTTTGAGTATGACCTTGACCTTGGGGGTGGCAACCCAATTAATGCGCTCTGCACATCGTCTTATTAGTGTGATCACTTGTGCCAAGTTATTTCAAAATATTTTCAGCGGTTTAAAAGTTATGGAGCGGACACGAAATGTAGACTTTTTATTATGAAATGACTTTTTAACATTTGACCTTTCTTGTGCCAAGTTATTTAAAAAAAAAAATTTAAGCATGCCAAAAATTGAAAATAGCAGCAATACTGCTCAGTGCTGTTACTACTAACTTCACGTACATATGATTTTGTGAAAGTATAAAATGGATGGAATTCTTAATTTTGCATAGTTTGATTTAGCAATGTTTTGAGATAGGAATGACCATTTATGATGTGAGAAGGCATCAGCTTGGACGGACTGACCTCATTGTGCTAAAATTTAAAAGAGTTTCATTGCCTGGTCAGTGAAAAATTTGGAAAACAACTTGCATTTCCTAGACTCTTGGATATAAGGGGTCTTCCTTTTCTCTTACACATAACTAATGCAAAATCAGTAAAAAAATGTTAATTTTGTCCATCAAACAGGGTTTTTTTTTAAAGATTTCACTTTTAAGTATATTTTTAGCTCCTGGGACCTACTTCTGCATCAAACTGGAACCATTTATGTAATATTTGTAGAAGGCCATCCAGAAAATATTTCTGTGAAGTTTGGTAAAAATCTACCTCATAATATAGGAGGAATGTAGACATTGTGGATAACAATGCACAATAGACAACACACACAACCAACATTATGCAATCACAAAAGCTCAGGTGAGCTAAAAATAAATTCTTGCTCAATACTACAAGGCTAAAGGATCAGATATATTGGTATGTTGCATCGTTACATAGACCTGTAATTAAATTTTTATTTTCCTAAGACAGAGGGCAAGTTACTCAAAGCCAGAGAGGTAGCCAGAATTTAGTGTAAATGGTACATCTATACTAGAAAAGCCACTTGAAAATTTAAACATTATCAATATTTATATCAATGCAAACTTGAAATAAAACACTATTGTGAATGTGATACAAAAATATTGTAGCTTTCATGGTTAGTTTCCATATCAAAGCTTGAAACGAGATATTTCAAAGGATTAATAATAATTCAGTGGATTACATGTATTTCTATATACCCAAATTTGGGTACAGGTGAGGCTACAATCTACAGTAAAATGTTTCTATCATTCACAACATCTCTATGTAGTCTGGAAAAGGGGTCACAGCTCCAAATGGGGAGAAGGGTTGTTTTTATTGTGCCAATTACAAAAGATTCAGGATTTAAGAAAAAACAAAAATACATTTTAGGGAACTATATTTCAAATATTTTTTTTAATAAATGATAAATAAAGTGTGTATATAATATATAATAAATATAAGAAAAAAAGAATGAGGCTTCCATCAAAAAAAAGTCATACAAGCTAACATTTTGCAATACATGATTTAAGTTTTTAACAGGCTATACTTAGCAAAATTAATTGTTTAACTACAAACCACATTGTTACCTTAAAATTAAAGAAATAAATTCAATTTACCAAAATGCCTTGACAAACAAAAAAATATTTTTCTAATTAATTCATTCGGTTATCTTCTTTTATTATCCTGATTGATATTACAAACAAATATAATTATAAATTAATAAATAACATACAGTTCATATGTTACAGAAAATAGTTAACATTGAATTAATGAGGTAAACACTTCAGCTGTTGTCATAAAATAATCTCCCAAGTTTCCAACGAAAATATTAAGCACTAACTTAAAGCATATTCTTAAATAGTAGCTAGCTTATGAGCAGTATGATATGTCATTCTCATGAGAGAAAAAAAGCTAAAGATAGAAAACAAAATTCTGAACAAAATAAGA